ATTTATAAAATTTATGAAAGATGTTTATAATTACACACATATATATCTAACTTATTAAAATAAAATAAAACATATAAACAAAAGAGAAATAATAGAATAATAATATTAATATAATAATATTATGTCACATAATTAAAGATTAGTTGTATAAAAAATGATATAATATTAATAATATAATATATAATATAATATAATATAATTATTCATCTTATGACATGTTCGGATTCTTACCCGGATACTCTCCGTTATGTCACGTTATCTTTGTTTATCTTTGTTATCTTGTTCGATAAATAACGAGAATAAAGTGATACCTGGGTGGCACTCGGATGGGAATCTGAACACAGTCTTAGTGTATTATTCTAGCAAATTGAAAATCATAATAACTTTTTTCAATTTAACATACTCGTGTTCAGTGATTTATTTATGTGTTATAAAATGATCCACATATCTATAAATTATCTTTTTAGGATTTGTCATTCTTTTGCAACACATACTCATACTATTCTTACAAACTTTTGGCAATACTGTTTCTATTTTCTTTCGTGTCAGAGATGTTCAGGTGAGGTTCTGGATGAATCTAATTATACAACTGTATTGTATTTAAGCCAAGAAACCGATGTGTGATTCTTATATAGTTATAAAATTGAAATTAACGATGTTAAGAAATACAATTTAAAGTTAGTCATATTATTATAATGATCTATAACTATTGTTACAAAGACACAATTATAACGATGCAATATGAGGATACAGCAAATTAAATTGTGTAAAAAAATTTTACATTTTTGTACAAGTTATTATTGAATGTATGTAACTTGTACATAAATATATTTTGTGTTTTAAATTCAGCATATATACTCTATGGCATATATTATACTTTGCATATATATACTTTGGACACGCTAACCATGCGTTAGGACAAATCTTTACTTGAATAATACATATTAATCAATACATGTACGTACATTATGACTATTTCGTGTGTAACTATTACTGTGTAACGATTACTTGTGTAACATATTTTCATCAAAATACATATATTCTGATTGCTTTATGTGTAACAGATTATACCGTATAAATGTAAATATAATTCTTAACAAATTTCATAAAACATTTGTTTATTATAAAAGCGCCTTTGATTAAGAATACGAATTAACGTTACACAATTAATTAGTAATATAAAAGTAATCATTATAAAGAAATATAATATGAAATGCTATATTGATAGTATACACAGAAAAATATCATTCTATTGCTAAGAAAAGTGATTATTCAATTTATTTTTTCCCTTTCAAGTAACAATTATCTTTAAGATTCACAGATGCTTCTATAATTAATTGCACACAAATCTTGTCATAAACTTTTCTCAAAAACGAAATTATATAATAAATAGTTTTAAAAATTCTGATTTTAATCACAAAAAAGTAACAGGTCAATGGCCATTCTGGAAAGATATTTACGTGCATAAACTTGCATATAAAAAAACCTCAAAAAGTAAACATAATCTCATCTTGTTTTCATTCAATGAAGATGCAGCTCTTGATTTATTATCGCAAAACAAAAAAAAATGCCTATTACGGTCGCAACTGTTCATTGCTTTAAATAATTCAAACTTGAATTATTAGTATATACTATGTATGCATAACTTGCATACACACTATATTGTAATTTTTTCGAACTGCACGCCGAATTGTTTTTCCGGACTATAAACGCAATTAAAATTACTCTAGTAATTGCGAATTAAATTGACAAGAAATTTAATAATTTACTATCATCAAAAGCATCATATTATAAAGATGTTAATATGTTGAAACTGTTAATAAATTTGTTGCGAAAATATTATCTCGGCCAGGACTTGGATTCGGATCTCTTGTATTCCGTACGAACATTCTAAGCCATTAGACTTCTGAAGCCTTTTAATTGCGTTTATACGAGTAATCCGAAAAAATAATTCAGCGCGCAATTCTAAAAGACTACAATATAGTATATATGCAAATACATATATAGTGTATATTAGTAATTCAAGATTGAATTATTTAAAGCAATGAATATCCAGCTTCGACCGCAATAGGCATTTTTCTAATATTGATTGTGTTTCTCATATATGCAGTCTAAAATAAAGATTCTTAAGATGTTTACTATCGTATGTTTCATACTATTTCACTAAGTATACACGTAGTTTTAATATTTATCCGAATTATGCAGATGTTTGTAATTTTGAGTGGACCCTGTCATCCCAAATTTTTGGCACTTTACTAAAGAACCACGAGTATACATGACAAAATTAACCATTATGATAGGTAATAAAAATATCTTTTTTAAATTCTTTTTAATTACATGCTCTCTCTCTCTCTCTCTCTCTCTCTCTTTCAAAATTCAAATTAAAAAGATAGATGCAAGCTACTGAAAGAGAATTACTCCTATAGAAATTTAGATTCCTATATATAAAATGTGAAGCAATGATACAATTTGCAAGCGCTAGAAGTAAATTTCAGATTGTAACATAGAGAGCGAGAGGGGGGGGGGGGGGAAGAGGGAGGAAGGGGGGGGAGAGAAAACCAGCCAATAATGTTTATACGAATAACCCAACTATGACAAAGAGCTAGATGCTTGTCTTGTAGACCGTTAATTGCTGTTGATTTGTTGTCATATATAGGACACATAAAGACGCATATCATCTGTAGTAAGAAAATAGAATTTTAATCGTTATCAGTTAAGTTTAGAGAACATGTTAATTTAAACCAAACGTAATTACATTTAATTATGTTCCAGTTTATATTTTATCTTATTATTTTAACACTTTCTCTCATAGTTTGTAATAAATAATTCTCCCAATAGCATTTGATTTCCTTTAAAGTTTATTTCTGTTAATGTCTTGTTTTATTTTATTATTTCAAAATAATTATATTATTAATTTCAGACAAATGATATAATACCATATAGATTACAATTGAATAAATCAACAAGAGAATAATTTTGTTAAAGTACATTTTGTAAAGAAGTTAAATAATAATTTATATTATAATGACACAATTAGTACAAAGCATACTACTTATAAATTTATTCTGTGGTAAGGTAATCTATACAGATAGAAATGTTTTTAATATATGGAAGAATTGTATATACAGAGTGTCATATTTTAACTTTTATATCGAAATATCATGGAAAATATAAAAAATGGAAAAATGCTTCAGATAAAAGTTGTGTAAAGGAGTCAAATAATAGTAAAATCAGTTTTCGAAAAAATCAATTTTTCGAAGTCACATAAAGATCACTAAGTTTTTTTAAATAAAATTGTATATATTTTTTTTAAATGATTTCTTTATAATTATTGTATATATATATATATATATATAAATATATATATATATATATAAAAGTGTTAAAGTAAAGATATCGAAATATCTGTATATGAATTATTTTATATTCCATTTTGGCACATATTGGCATAAAATATAAAAAGCGGAATAATTACAGGAATTATATTATATTTTAAAAAATTACACAATTCTATTTTATTATAAAAAATAATGATGTAACTTTAATGATAAAAAATTAATTTTTTCAAAATTTGATTTGATTATTATTTGTCCCCTTTCCGACCATACAACTTTTGTCTAAACATTTTTCCATATCTTTTATACATATTCTTTGAGATATTTCGATATCAAAATGAAAATGGAACATCCTATATACTTATAATTTCTTGTATTGTTCATTATTCTTTTAAACATAGAATTTAAATACAGAATTTAAATAACGAAAAATAAGACTGATTCTTTTGCAATAAATAGAAACATAATTAGTTAATATACACATATATACATAGGAAATATAATGCAACAAGAAATGCAATGTATCTAATAAATTTATTATAAAATGTGACTGCATAAAAATAAATGAAAAGAGTAATACATTTAAAATGCAAAATTAAGCTAAAATCCATTTTCGCCGGATATAAGAATTCTCTTATTTAATTAGATTTATTCTCAACAGTTCAAATTCATATAATTATATTGTTTATCATACATCTCCTTATGACATTCGCTTACTAGTTATTGATAATTGTGACAAATATTGTCTTGATGATCGAATTGATCGATGTGCGTCCCGGAAAGTCAGAAATTTCAGGCTCAAACTCTAGCAGAGGCAATACAATTATTTGTAGATTTAAGATTTAATCATTAATATCTAATTATTAATATTCTTATAAAAATTATATTAGCATCAAAAATTATTAAACTGCTTGTCAATTTTAATAAACGATATTATTACTCATTCGGTTTTTTGCTCACAGTTGCATGATTCAAGACTGAAAAAGATTTCGGTGCATAGCTTGTAATATACAGATATGTATATAAGTTCACACAGAAATTTAAACATTAAAATCTGCTTTGATCGAATATAGAAATTCTTTCATGTAATAAGACTTATTTTCATCAGTTTAAGTTTACATTATTTGTAAAATTATATCACATATAAATAATTATGTAAAATATGCCAAATGCTAAAAATAGAAAAATGTATAAATCAAAATATTTCTTCAACATTCTAATTACATAAAACAATCCAGTGAATTACACACTAAAGTACATACTAAATTATTTTCTAAATTTAATTTAACATAAAAATTGAAAAAATATATTAATGACAAACTTTTATTACTAATAATACTGATAAGATAATTTAATTTATTAATAAATCGTATACTCATTTATAATAAACTTTTGTTTCTAACATTATTAATTCTTTAATATAATAAATATTAACTATTAACAATACTAATCTATTATTAATATAATCATTTATCAAATATAAATTTTTTTCTAGGTATTATAACAGGAAATGTTATATCAAGGTTACAGAGTAATCATACCATGTATATGGACGATGAATATAAACCCCAAAAATCAGAAAATTCAACAAGTCCAACACCATCAACAACAACAAAAGTGTTTATTGAAATTGTAAAGCATATTGGTTATTTTTTTGCAATATGCATTATACTCATAGCAACATCATATAGTTTACAGTATTTAATTAATAATTGGTAAGTCTTTAAGTCAAACTACTAATTCAATATATAGTATATATCCATAAATTTATCACTAATTAAATTATATATGTAATAGCTTTATGATTACACACACACACACACACACACACACACACACACACACACACACACACACACACACACACACACACAAAATTTATTAAAATAAAATAAAAACGTAAACAAAATTATAAAATGATAATGTAGAAGTATTAAGTATTCTGTTATCATATCGTGTTTTTAATATAATTAAAGTTTTTTTGCATAAAAATACCAACAGATAATATTAATAATCGTAAGTATATTGTATTATTCTAGTAAATTGTGAAATCATTAGTATTTCTTCTTAATTTCTTCAATTCTTTCTTTTCAATTTAACATGTTTATATTCAGTAATTTATTTATGGTGTTACAAAATGATTCATGTATACTTGTATGTATAAATTATCTTTTTAGGAATACTATTATAATATGCATTCGTGCTTTTCCTAGAAACTTGTGACTACGCTTGTGGCGTCTTTCTTTTTACTAGTTTTCATAGACGTGCAGAAAATTAGGAGGCGCCTAGGAGTGAACTGTACTATACAATTCAAGACAAAGGAAATTACTTTTCGCACTTAATCTTAATACTTATATTTAATATAAAACTAAATTAAGCACTCTTTAGACGATCTAAAATTCGCGATCAAATTCAAGACAAAATAATACTTTTAATTATTTTTATGTGTCGCATACTCAAAATATAGACGTGTATACTGACATTTGTTTATGTGTAAATTTGACTTCTTCAAAATGTTTTCTATGCTATTTTTGTATTTTTTGAGAAGAACCATGTGTTAGAAATGTTGATGTGTATTTTAATAAATAGATATAATTATTTATTAAAATAATAATAAATAATAATTACATTTTAATTAATACATGTGCATTTCTGACTTTAAATAAAGATAGCTTATATAAAATATTTTCATTAATACGTGTATTCTTATATTAATTATTTACTTATATATATATTATAAGTATCTTATATATGTATAACAGATTATACGATACAAATATAATATGTATATATAATTATTAGCAAATTTAATAAAGCTTCATTTCTTTATAATTAAAACGCCTTTGAGTGAAAATGAGTTATCATTGAATTAATTAGCGATAAAATATAACCATGTTAATGAAAAATAAAATGCGTATATGTTGTGATATGATTTATAACATTATCATATATATTTTGAATGTAAGGATGTTCAATCCAAAATCAATTTTTTAGAAAATTGATTCTTTTTCGATATTCGATTTTTTAGATCAATTCTTAAGCTCTGATTAAATCAACAAATTCTTAAGAGAACATAATATGCTGAATAGATTGATGAATAGAATTCATCAAACAAAAATCTGTTGGTATTAAAAAAATTCTATCCGAAAAGATATACAAGCTGTTGTAAAAAAGAACTACTCCTAAAATATATTAGATTTCTATAAAATAATGTGAAATAACAATAGTATCTACAAATCCTTGGGAAAAATTTCTTTCAATGAAGTTAAAGTTTTTAAAAGTAATTAAGAGTTTACTTAAATTTTTTGAAATGATTTAAAGTGTGTAAAAAATTAAGCCAAAATAATTAAAAATTTTAAAGTTTTTCAAGGATGACTTCAATATAATCGGCACAGAGTGTTAGTTTCTTTCAATTGTTCTTAAGTAAGTTTTAAAATTACTTTAAAAAAAAATGCAGTGTTCAAATTTACCTTTATTTCTTAGATTTTCTCTATAGTAAATTTTCAGTATTCTAAAATAATTTTTTAAATTTTCTAAAGTAAATTTTCCCAAGAGAATACCCAGAGACAAATGTGATTTGACTGAGAACGAATAGCATGTATGCAAATAAACAAACTAACAAAAAGAACTAGAGGACCATTTCCTACAGACCGTCAATTGTTGCTGATCTGTTGTCATATATAGAACATAAAGACGAATATTCTTTGTGGTATGAAAATTATATAATCTTTGTTCATATATCAATTATACTTAAAGATCATAACTGTCATCTCAAATATTATACAATACTTAAGAATTATGTATATAGTATGTATATATGCATATATATATATATATATATATATATATTACAATATATTATTAATTATTTTAACTAATATTGATTATAATAAGATATCACATTATAATATCTTCTTTAGAAATTTATTAACAAAACAACCAGTTGTTAGGTATCTTTCACGACATTTCACAATTTCTTATTCTTTATCGTTAAATAATATAATAATATACATGAACATTTCAATTTTTCAACATAATTATTATCATTTTTTTTTTGTAATTTTCAGAGTAACGTTATGCTTTGAACAAACAAAGAATACTCACTATTTATAAGACTCATTATAATTATGTATCAAACATCGCTTAATACTGGTAAATTAAATTAAAAAATAATTATGTTGCATTATATTCCATTATACTTTATCTTGTCATTATCTTGTTACATCTTTCTCTTATACCTTGTAACAAATACCTTTTAATCCCGTTTGACTTTCTTTGAAATTTACTTCTATAACATTTCTTTCTTTCAACGTTCAAAATAATTGTGTTGTTAATTTCAGACAATTGATATAACATTATAAAAGATTGCGATTGAAAGAATCGAGCAAAAATAATTTCGTTGAATTACGTTTTGTAAAGAAGTTGGACATACAATAACATAGATTATAATGACGCAATCATTACGAAACATTCTATTTGCGAATTTACTCTACGGTAAGATATATATAATCCAGGTTTCTAGAAATATATTAACTATATGTGTGTGTGTAAAATTTCGTATTGTTAATTATTCCTTCAATCACAGAATTTAAATATAAAAAAAATGAATCTTTTTCAAATAAAAATAATATATGCACACAAAGAATAAAACACGACAAAATGTATAATGTAACAAATTTATTTTAATGTATTTAAAATAAAGAAAATTTATTAAACAAGAAGTATTTAAAATTATATTAAATATTCATTGTACAAATCATTGTACAAAAACATGCCAAGAAACGCAGAAAAATATATAAATAAAGTTATATGTTATTACAATTCAAACATATATAACAAACCAGTAAATTTACATTTTATTATATTTGTTACAATCAATTTAACCTAAAAATTGATAAGAACTCAATATATTAACAATAAACTTTTATTAATAATAATATTGGTTTAACAATAATTTAATTTTCTAACAAAATCAATTCATTCATAATAAAAAAAATTTGGAATATTACTAATTCTTTAATATAAATATAAAATACTAATAAATTTAATTTAATATTAGTTGATATAATTATCTAACAAAAATATTTTTCTAGATATTGTAAAAGGAAATTATATACCATTATTACGAAATAATAATGATGTTGAACATGAATATGAGTACAAAGGATTAAAAAATACAATTCTAACAAACCATTTCTTTCAAATATTCATTCAAATTGTATATGTAATTGCTTTTATCCCTTTTATTATAGCATTTATATTTTGTATGTTTGACTAGAATTATCCAATTTCTTATGATTTAAGACTCTGCAATCGTCTACGACTTTTTTGTATATATATATATATATATGAAATAATCGCCAAATATTTCATGGGCAGGTAGAGAAGACTAAACTGAGTCGAAAAGTCCTTTACTACCATTTTACAATTTTCGCAAAAGCTGCAAGAGATAAAAATCATTTATTTTCTTCTCAGTTAAAGTTCTAAGAATTTTTTCAGAATTTTTTATCAACTTTTTAGTACTGCATTTTCTTTTTTTTTTTACTAACATGAGAAAATAGGGTATTAAAAAATTCTGAAAAAATTCTGAAAAAATTCTCAGACCTTTATGAGAAGAAAATAATGATTTTTTCTCGTAAATATACATATATTCTCAAATATACTTTTTGTATCGATTTAGGTATCTAAAAACTTGTCATTGTTTTTTTCATATAATATACTTGTCTGAAATTTCAAACTTTGTGAGTTTGCAAAGCTTTTATATCAAGCAAATGTTATGATTTGACAGCTTTAGTGAAATATTTGGCGATTATTTCCAGACACCCTGTATATATAGTAGAAATATTATTGAATAATCTCAAAATTAAATAATTAATTAATTTATACATATATATATATATATACATATATATATTTCCAGTTCATTAAAATAAAACTAAAAAACATAAATAAAAAGAAGAGTATTAATAATATTGGATTGGTCAAAAAATAAATGTTCCTTTTTAATTGACACACAAGTAACAGAAGTGAGCAATAAAAAATCGTAGGAACAAAAACAACGATTTTGTAGAAAAAACGTCAAGTTTTCACGACAAATAGTTGAAAATCTTTAAATTCTTTTTTGGGTATGTGACAAACCCACAAATTGAGAAGAAAATTTCCTATTTTTTTAGTTTGTAGTTTTCTATATGTAAAAATTACCAAACTCATAGAAACTTAAAAAATATAACTTTTAGTAAAAAAATAGTAACTTTTCGAAAGTTAAGATTTCAAGTTTTAAAACTGTTTTTTAGCTTAAATTACAATCATTTTTAATGAAAATGTACATACAAATTTGCTAAAAAAATGACATTATTTTTCGATCAAATATTAATCCTTTATCATTTGCTTCAACTAAAATTAAAACTTCTTTTTGTACAAAAAATATAAAATAACATTCATACATCTTACTATATTATTTTAAATTATAACAAAATTATTAGCAGATTCTTCTTTTTAAAATGTTCAGTTAATTATTTATTCACATGTTACAAGATGGCCCCTAAATATGTATAAATTGCCTTTTAGGCGTATTTTTATTCTACAACGTATCCGTACTATTCTTAGAAATATTTGGCAACATTACGTCGAGTATCTTTTTCATTTTTGGAGAC